CTGATGAAAATAAGCAAGTCTTCAGAATAAGCCTCTCTAAGTTTGCACAAGGCGTTATTTTTAGAGTGGAGAAAATGTATAGTGAGATAAAGCATATGTTTATGTATTTCATATTGCTGAATCCAGTAAATGCTCTTATTCAAAGAATTAGAATTATTTTTACTGTTTACTTCTTTGGCTTCCTCTTGCCTTGTTCACTAAGTTAAAGACGTCAATTGGTACTCACATATGATGATCCCAGGACTGATGCATATCCTATTTCCAAGGATTTAAATTTATCAAATTTTGTTACAAATTTTTAAATCCTAGCATATACACAATGACTATGCAAAAAGTAAAAATTCAGTTTTTCTATTCAATTAAGTATCCATTCTTTGACACACAAGAATATGCCTCTTATGTGACTATGAAGTCAGTTACTACTAATTTAAGTCTGATCTATGTATTTCATTTGGTCTTCTCAGAAAACACCCATACCTATATTTATCTTGATGACATCTTTCATCCTAGGAAGTATTTTATCACAGCCCCACTTAATTCATTTTTGTGCCAACAGCTTCCTAACTTCCACAGATTTTGTACTACGTGTTAGAGTTCTGCAAACACTGATGGAAACTGGTTTATGACAATGATGAAGCACCATCAGTGCCTGTGACTTTCCTCTGCATCACTTCCTGAATTGTACAACGTGTGATGCATGAGCCCACCGTTCACTTTTCTTCTTACTCCGGGGCTGGACTGCATGCCAGGCTAATTAAGATTTAAGAACTGTAGATATTCAGCTGTGATTTAAAATCCAAATCCAACTGAAGGTGGCAGAGCAAAAGTTAAAATCTTTGAATGCAGAGAGCTGACTTATTAGTGCACTATTAGGTTAAATCCCTTTGCCTGAATTTCCAGCATAATCTCCTTCAGGGTAAAATTCTGCATATCTTTGCATATTTCACTAATGATACTGAACTCTTTCCCATTAGGAATGCAGTAAAGAATTGCAATAATAATGAAAAATATCAGCTACAGCCTATGTAGTTCTTTTATTCAATATTATGATGTCAAAGATGATAAATTATCTATAAATCAGGAGAATGCCATTTTGTACTTTACATGCTCACCTGTAACATGTTAGGCTGTGTAATGTGGCTGCAGTTCAAGCAAACTGAATTTATCCTATAGCTGGTATAATGTTCATTCCAAATGAAGCTTTTATTGCCAAGAAAACAAAGTCTGTTTCCTACTTGAATTCACTGCTTAATTACTGCTGTATATAAAAAACTCAGGGTGTTTAGGTATGTATTCCATGATGAGATTATCCTATGAATAATACATCTCCTTAGTAAAAGAAGTTGCACTCTACACAAAAGTAGCCAGATATAACCCCCCCCCCATTTTTTTTTCTTTCCTCTCAGCAATAACTTTGTGAAGAAGGATATGATCAAAGATTTAATTTGCTTTCTAGGGGTTGTGTGTGAGTGTATATAAGTATGTGTGTGTGTATAGAGCGTGTGAATGTATTAGAGTATGGGTGTGGGTGTGTGTGTGTAGGGAGTGTTTGTGTGCATGTAAATGTAGATAAGGTTGTAAGAGCATGCATGCATGCATATGTGAGAATAGCCCTGAATTAGATGTATACAGGGAACCCCAAATATTAGATAAATCAGCATGCTAATGAATACTGTTCTAACACACTTATGTTTTCTTCAGACACTTAAGGCTAGTATAATGGTGCTAAATGAGGTGGACAATAAAACGGGCACTATTTCCATTGGTGTTTTATGTTTTTAAGATGGTAAGTGCCCATAGAGCGGATCTCACCATCAGTTACTTTGAGTTCTAAATTTGTTTGTGGTGTGAGTAAAGTAGTCATTATGTTCACCTGAAATTCCCTGATAGTTGTTTTCATTTCCATGAAACTAATAATCATTTTATTAAACAAAACTAACAGTTATTATGTCCCAACCTCTGCAACTGTGAAGCCAATCAAAATGATAGCTCAATGATAACACTGGGATAGGCTAATGAGCCTGTATATAAAATTATGCAGGATTTTACATGGATATATTGCACTTAGTGACTGCCACATTAGAGAGTTTCAACAATTAACAAGGAACAGAGCCCATCTGTATAAAGAAATAAGCATGTTAACTACAAATGTTTTTTATAACAACTAATTTTGGGAGATTTCTTAAAATTTGAAGTCATGATTCGAGAATGGGAAAAGCAAAAAGAGAGGAAAAGATCAATATGTATGCATTTCGTGATCTCACTAATGGAAAATATGTATTTACAGTTCTGCCATATTATTTATCTATTTCTACAACGAACACTTAATTGAATACTTATTACTTTCAAACACTTGCCTAGAAATTTAGATTCAATAATAATAATAATAAGTAGCACATATATAGCCCTTAATAAGTGCAAGGTACCTTTCTAACCTGTGGCTTGTTTTTTGTGTGACCTCATGAGCTAGGAATGGTTTTTACATGTTTTTAAAGTGTTATAGGAAAATAAGAAACAAGCAAAAAAAACAAAGAATACATGACACAGACAGCAAAGCCTAAAATATTTAGCATCTGTCACTTTGTAGACAAAGTTTGCTGACCCTTATTCTAAAATTTTAATGTATATTAATTTATTTAATCCTCACAACTGTATTATTATTCTCATTTTACAGATAAAGAAATTAAGTCATAGAGGGATTTAAAGCCTTTTCAAGGTCACTCACCTGATAAGCGGCAGAATAATGTTCGAAATCAATCAGTCTTACTCTAAAGATAAATTGTGATGATTCCTGCTCTGGAAACACCCAGCTTTCTTCTAATCTCTGCAATTAGTATATTTAAGAGGAAATTAATGTTCTAGTCTGTTTCTCAATATGTAGATCTGTGTGTATGTGTACACATATGAATAAATATGTACTTATACAAATGTGACAGCATTCCCCAACATTTTTGGCACCAGGGACCGATTTTACAGAATTTTTCCTCGGATTCGGGAGATGGCTTCGGGATGATTCAAGCACATTACTTTTATTGTGCGGTCACACCTCTCTGTTGATGATAATCTGTATTTGCAGCTGCTCAGCGGTGCTAGCATCACCACCTCAGCTCCACCTCAGATCATCAGGCATTAGATTCTCACAAGGAGTGTGCAACCTAGATCCCTCGCTCGCACAGTTTACAGTAGGGTTCATGCTCCTATGAGAATCTAATGCTACCACTGATCTGACAGGAGGCGGAGCTCAGGCGGTGATGTGAGTGATGGGGAAGAGCTGTAAATACAGATGAAGCTTTGCTCACTCGCCTGCTGCTCACCTTCTGCTGGGTAGCCCTGTTCCTAACAGGCCACAGACTGGTACCAGTCCATGCCTCAGGGGTTGGAAACTACAGAAATACAACATATAATTTAATCACTGGAAACGGTAGTCTTCATTGTGAATTCAATCAAGGTCAAAATATTAATTTTCAGATGACTTTTATTATTTATTTTTCTCATATTTAGTTCTATGTTTAGTTATAGTCACCCATGCTAACAAAATTCAACTCTATCAGCATTTTTTGTAAGGAATCTTCTTTTTGTAATTTTCATTTTAAGCTATGCTCATAATGTACACATATTTGATTGTAATAAAATATGAGATATTTTTATTACAGTGAATCATGCTCTGTTTTGAGCTAGAAAGTAAACACAGAGGATTGTTTCAGTCTTTCAGAATTGACTTCTAATATTGCTTCCTAAATGCCAAACCTTTGGGTAACAGGGAGGGAGAAGCCTTTAATACTTCTTCCTGTAACTTCCATGGTGGGAGTCAAGGGTAATTGTTTCCTGAATTTAATGACACCACCAGGAAAAAAGAAACAGAAGGCAAGAGGAGAGAGTGCAGGAGGAAAATGTCCTCGACATGTAGCCAAGATTCTAACTGCCTCAGTGATCCCAAAAAGTAAGGCTGAGAGTGTGTGCTGTTAACTGAAACAAATAAAAGTTTCCTTGACTGCTGGACCCCACAAGAATACCACGGCTGAAAGGAAATCATGGCTCTATATTTTCTATTTTATGTTTTTGGAGGTTTTTACTGGAACTCCCACACCAGATCAGTATGAAAACAATAAAACCTGGCAGTCTCAGCATCTGACTCGACCACACAGATTTTACGGCCTTGGCTACTAAAAAGTTTGACCTGAAGCTTTGCTTTTTTCTACAAAAACTTAGGGAAAATAATTTTAGTATTAAGGAAAGTTTCAGGGATAATGCTAAAATAATTAAATCATTTTCTTAAACTACCTTGACAGCTTTTAAGTCTTTAAAAATGAATTAAATATATACTTCAAAATCTAACAGGTACAAAGAAGAATATTGTATGTACAATTTTTTTCTAAGTGAAACAAGGTAACAGGCATCGTATGTCCCAAGGACAAGATATTTTTAATGGCTTATTTTGCTTTCCATATATATTACACATTCCTTTATCTCTGAGGAATGTAGTGGTATTGTTTCATATTCAGTATATTTGAGTGAAAGAAGAACTTCTATAGATTAGACATGTTTTTTTACATCTAGGCGTAGGTCAGTATTTGAATTGATCTGTCTAAAGATATTGACAGCTGCGAATTTTACTTACCAGGTAGTTAGACAAATAGCACTTAATAGGAAGAGTTCTTAGATTAAATATTGGCTGAAAAAATGGGGGACAGTTAGTTTTTGTATCTCATAAAAATGGAAATGTAACAATTAGCAGGGTCATATTATAAAGCACAGACTTTACTCTAGCTTAATGGATCTAAGGATAAGCATTTATCAGCAAGGAAGGATTTAGCATGAAATGACATGTAAATGAATTGATGCCTGATCATAAATTAATTTTAGTGCTGAAGATGTAATAGAGACACAGCAAGATGCCACTTTATCATGATATTTTACTGCTCAGTAACATTTGAGCAACAACTTAATATCCTATGCGCAGTTCTTCTTTAACAGCTATAATAAATTTGAGATTGTTTTTGGTCTTTCAGCAATTTTAAACCTGAGAAATTTGGAAAGAATGAAAATGTAAACACAAATAAATTTGGCTATATGACATGAATTCATTTTTCATTAAATGTTTAAACATGTATTGATTATGTTTGGGGCTATTACATGTCAAATTGGCATGGATTGCTTGTAATTTGTAAAGAATCTGTAGCTGAGTTGTTTTAACCTGGTATTCATTTTAATTTTCATGTTTATATTTACATTTGTGACAGAAAATCAGTTATCCCAAAAATGACTTACTTTTTAATTCATAGATTAACAGTTTTCTTTTTTTAGTTTTTATCTTCTTATTGCTTTCTTTATTTTTTGGTAATTATTTACCTAAATCTTCAGCTCATTCTTCATGTTTATATCTAAAAAGGAGGAAAAATGGTAGCCAATGAGAGGTCAAATCAGCAAATGTTAAATTTTAGCAATTTCACAGGAAGAACAGTAATATATGTCATTTATTTTTTTATTCATAGGAATGTGGCCAAATATCTTTAAAAATATTCCCTACAAATGTACCCATTCCATATATCTTACCCAAATTGAGAGGAGGTGGTGTTGACAAAGGCAGAGAGACAAAAGGAAAAAGAGAGAAATTTCTTTCTGTTTATGATCCTTGTCCTCCATTTTGAAGGCAAACACAGCTACACTAACATGAGGCACTTCCCTCTCATTAGCTTGAGACATTAAGTTTCCCATTGCCCAATGTGGCCAAATATCTATGGTACGTGTATCTTCAACTTTGAAGTCCTCTATCTCGTTTCTTTGCTGTTACAGGGAGTACAAAAGAAAGAATAGCTGATGTTCTTTCTGTATTGACCAACGCTCACTTGAAGCCGTATCTTCCATGTTACTCTCTGTTTCCAGAGGGGAAAAAAAAACTTCAGGAAAACTTCGCAAATAAATGGGATTTATTTGCCAAGGAGACACATGCCAAGGAGTATTAAAGGTTGAGAGAAAATCAGAGCAAAGACACAAAGGCAGGAAAGTAGTTGGTTTGTTTAGGGTATGACAAAGGTGTGTGGAAATATTCATATGAAGGACTTGTTATCACAGGGAGATAAACAGGGTGTTCTGGGGTGGAAAAGTTAACCTAATTCTCTGTTAAGTGGCCTCAGAGGATGACATTTCTTTAGAGACACTGCTGTGGTGTAGAATTTATTCTAAGTTTTGCAGTTTCAGAGACTAAATTTGTCAATATGCTATCCCCAGGCTGGAACCACACAGCAAGCAGACTTAGACATAAAACCAAATGGACCCGACTGTTTCTGGGCTTGTTATAGGGGAGAAAAGAGAATTTTAAAAAAACAACAAAACATTGAATGTGAACACAGAAGTCACACAAACAAAAAATAAGTTGCCACATAATATAAATTCTTTACCTCAATTTGAATAAGATATTGGTAAATATCAATATTCAAATGTATCAAAGCATAACC